TTTGTGTTTAAATCGTTCAATGTGCATGTATTGGTAAATGGTAAACAGGCCAGACCACAATTTACAAGATGTGAGGTCCAAGATTTTCCCATACAAAAAAAGAAAGGTAGAGGCACCTGAAGTTCCAGAGTCAGTTGCATTACCAGTTACTAGAAGAAAGGAAAGGTCGCTCTCATCATTGGTGGTCAGCACTCCTAAAGTTTCCACGCACACTACTACAACAGGAAGAAGAACGAAACCTTTTCCAAGAAGGGCTGCTGCTTTACGAGGTACCAATTTTTCCATTGAAAAAACGAATAACAAGGAACATGTTCCTGTTGAAGATAGTCCAGAGAGCTCAAGTTCACCCGAAACTCTGAAAAAACCTAATCAGAACATAAAGCAGGTAAATATTAACCGTTATATCAACTTTGTGTGGATACCTAATATCATTTTAATTGGCTGTTAATATAAACGTCCACTTTCGTTTCTAGTGTCTTGACAAGCAGTCCAATTTTCTAAGAAGTCTAAGAACTGCATGTTTAACAAGTGCAGAATTCTCCCTTTACTGAACCCAGCCAACCTGTTCCTGATGAAGCAGAGAATGGGACCGAACCAAGGGATGGGAAATCAGATCTCTGGCAACCTTTAAATTTTTTGGTGGAAGTTGCGAACAGAACCAAGTCATTCAAGTCTAGTCCCCAACTTAATGATGCTAAATCAGAATCTCGACCTGTCCATGACAATGAACCTCGAGCGCTTAAAACCAAATTTAAGGAAAACAAAGGCAGATCAAAAGTAAAGGATGAAAAGAATAATATTGATAATGTCTCTGAGGGACCAGTGGAACCAAAAAGGTTGCGCAGAATACGTCAAAAAAGGGCAGTGTTTAATAACATTTCCGGCATTTCATCCCCAGCAGTGCTGGACACTGCTGCTGCAAAGCAAGAAAGAAGAAGTGGTCCTGTTTGGTTTTCATTATTGGCTTCTGAACAGTGAGAACCAACTCCAGCTCTTTAACTAGAAGAAACTTTCTGTACTAGGAGTCTAGAATATTGAAACGTGTTTGCTTGCTTAAATGTATTTTCACTGTGTTCATATAGTTTTTTCACTTCTTTTTCTCAGAGAAGGAGAAGCACCCTTGCCACAAATTCCTTCAAGTTACTTAAGGCTAAAGTGAGTTTCTTTTGTCTTCACTGCAATATTGTATGAACTCTTCATCTCATTTGCTGGATACTTTACCTTTTGTTTTGTTATGATTTATGAAGATTCCTTCCTGGCTTTTTTTATTGTGAAGATATTATTCCAAGTTTTTGGTACTTGGTAGCTGGGAGTACAGTGAAAAAATTTGCTCACGTTATGCTAGTAGATGCTAGAACAGCAGTCACTGCCTGAGAGAGTAAGCTTAACCTTTAATCATGCTTAGGTTAGAGGCTTAGAGCTGTAAAGATGAAGGGAAGGCCTCCAAGGATGTAGTTGAGGTGGTAAGAATTGTGAGAAAACATGGTAGCACATATTTGTGAAAACAATGAAATTTATTTTCATTGAGGCATCTTATTAATCTAAAGTCATCCTTCCTCTGCTACACAACTCATTCCTTCTAGAGGTCTGGAGGTTGCAGTATGGAAAGTGCAGGTGGGACAGCCAATTGACCTATCGATTTCAGAGAGTGTATCTCGAGATGTATTTTACCAATCCTAAAAAGGGACAGGTTATCTATATTGACTAACTATTTAATAGATTCCATGCGCATCTCAGCATATATGTAGATAGTTTCGGTCTGTAACTTACAGCTAAACCAGTCATTAAAACTATGCTGGTCCGCTTTCAGTCCCACCTGATGGAAGGCGCTGCTGACAACCTGAAAAACCACTAATTCCTCCCAAAATTTAAGGCCCATTTTAGATATTGTAATAGGCCACTTAACGTGTCGCTTTTATGTTTATTGAATTGTTTGACAAGTTTTCTCACATTCAATCTATTCAATAGTCCTCATAAACACACTGGAATCTTAATTTGTAAATTAATTTAGTTCTGTGCACTGTTGTTGTGCTAATTTATGCCTGTTACCTATTATTTTGCCGTCATTTTTCAGCATTTCTTTTGGCTACTTTTCAGTAATTAAAATTTGAAATAAGAAAATAAGCTTTTTTGGTGAATAAAGTAAAGCAATCAACTAATTCCTGGAGATGTTTCACTTATTTCGCCCTATGCCAGGAATGGAAATGTACCTGTTTCTTTCATCCAGAAGTACTTGATGAAGAAGCTAGACCTCGCTAGTGAAGCTGAGGTGAGATGTCGTTGACAAGCTTTACGTTCAGATCATTTTCAGTTTCAATTAGTTGTTTTTTTTTAATGCAATTACAAAACAGTCTTGGACCTTGGATTACCATACCCTATCAACTCCAAGTTGAGCTTGCTATTGTGTTCTTAGGCACAAGTTCTTGTCATATTAAAAAGGTTGAAGTACAAGAGATCTCAATTAAGCACCAGGGTCATCAAGTTTTGTCTTTAACAATGCATGTGCTGCTCTCTTCCTTTTCTTTTTTTGAGCCCTGCATTTTTCATTAGCGTACATTACTCATGAACCAATAATCTCATTAGTCCTGTCCCCTCTTAAAGTCTGACTTCTGTTGCATTTGCTCCTGCAATAATGTGAGCAGAATTATTATGAATCGGAAATTGTTTCTTTCTTAGGAAAACAAATATTTTGGAAGTATTCTGCCATTAGTAAAGGTTGAACAAAGTATTTATTTAAATCAAAAGGAAGCATTTTCAATTAAGCAGCAGAAACTATAGCAAATACATTATCATTTTGCCTCGTGGGCGTTCAATAACAGTTTTAGCATAGAAAAAAGCTTGTCTAGTTCTCATTCTTGTAACTCCTCTGGTTGGTATTCTTTCAGGTTGAGATCAGATGCATGGGAAGACCAGTGATCCCTACATTACTATTGTATAATTTAGTTGATCAGTGGCTGCAAACAGTGCCAAAGACCGATCAAGTACCAGTAACTGCAGGTTCCTCGGCAAAGGATTATGTGATGGTGCTTGCCTATGCTCGAAAGGTCCCAAACCAATAACAATGCTTTTTTCCAATTTGTTGTTCCACCACATCATCAACAATCCATATGCTTCTTTGAATCCCGGAGGGTAACAAAGTGAAATTTTCTCCTCGGCTTGTATATTTTGAGCATGTCGTTCATGACTAGTTCCTCCACAATATCTGTGGAGTCTTTGGTTTATCCACACCAGGCTGCCGCAGGGAAACAGAGGGTGAAAAGGAATTCTTCGATTCATGATCATATAAATGCAGGCAATCTGCACAAGCTGGTTAGCCTACAGTGATGAGGTGCGCGTTCACGGGTGTTCTTCCAGGTACTGTCTGATTACACACCACCTAGCGCAAGACTTTCTACGGAGACCATCACATCTTTCTTGGCTGCGTGTTGCATGATATGCGAGCTAGATGATGCTCTATTTGTTTAATCAGACTTACGCTCCCATTGTTTTCTATGGTTGATTATTCATTGTAGGCAGAGATGGACCTGCTTCGTTGGCTGCCCTCCACGATAGAAAGTTCTGTTTTTTGAGCCTTTTTTTCGACTGCATTGAGATTTCAGATTTACCCCAGTTATTATTCCTAGGATATTAGGATTTATTTAACTATTAACAAGATGCGACCGATAAAATAATTATTAATTAAAAAAATGTTTTTTTAATGGGTAGTACTTTATGTATGACAGAGAAAATAGTTATTAAAATTTAATACAAATTATAACTAGTATAAGTTATCAATTTGTTGAACTCAAACTCGGATTTTCTACATTTTATTTAGTATACTAACAATCTTTGCTATGTTCATACGCATGGTATGTCACATACAAAAATTCTTAATTAGAAAAAAATAAATTATCTGCAATATATTTTTTATCTGTGGCAAAAAAGAAGTTATGTCACACAAAAAAAAGATTTTTTTATGCATTATTAACTATTCTTTCAATACACACAGAGTTAAAAATAGAATTTCTTCACGTTTAAGTTTAACTTATTTAATAATAATATTAAGAACTACATATTGAAAAAAAATTCAGTCCCATCCACGTGCTAAGGGAAGTAACCAGGTAAATACATGTAAGGGGATCGTCTGCACATGATTTTTTGCACGAACTTGCTGGGTATTGGCGGTGGCTCTCTCAAGAGCTAAACGTCCCATTTAAGAACTGTCCGGCGTCGTCGTTATATATAAGCATCGAGTAGATGGGCCGCCCGGTCTTCATGCCCTCTGAGTCAGTTCATTATCTAGGCCCGTCTAGACTGAGGAAAAGATCGACGAAAAAAGATTCTTTGTGATCAGGAATCGCATTTTTAATTCTTACAAGACTAGCAAAATTCCTGACACTTAGCAGCTAAGTGTTCTATAATAATTCACTTGCTAGGTGCACTGTAGTTTGCCGCTTTCTTTCTTCTTTTTTTTTTTTTATAAGAACAAGAGTTGTCCTCTTCTCTCTTTTTATCATTTCATGTTCTCTTATTCTATTTTAGTAATTTTTTTATTCACATTTTGCATCGAATAAAATCAAAACACGATATTAAACCTTTAAATTTCATCTTAGCAAGAGTGCGATTTCAACAGGACTATCTGGAGGAACCACAGGCTTCTAACGGCTATCTAAACCCTCCACAAAACAATCAGCGGTGCCCTCACTATGATGGGATGGATAATAGGAAACTATGCAAATAAATGCTGTGAAAAGTATGGGTTTTTGATAACCTCTATGGTAAATTCAAGTTGCATAACTTGACCTTCATAACATGGACATAGGGGGGGAATGAATGACTCGAGCTTCAGAGATGCCACCATCGATTTTACAACACACAAAATCACGAGGCAACTTCAGATGTATTGTACAAAAAAAATCAGCTTCATGGGATAGGATTTCGTAAAACAGCCAAATATTCTTCCTTCAACTGCTAAAAAGATAGATATGATATACATGACCTTATCATTATCAAACATACAATTGGAAAAATAAATCACTAATTCATCACATTCCTCGAATGAACGCTACCAAGGCATCACAACATGAACTGAAAATGCATGAGAGAATTCGTGAGAAGACCATAAGCATAAGCAGATATTACGGTCACAGTACTTAAAAGAGATCGCCACTGAATGAATAATCTTACACATTCCATAGACCCATCAAAAAACAAAAAAAGAGATCACTTCCGGAACCACTCCTCCAATCAGGCACAAAACAAGCCAGGAACCAAGAACTCTTCCAAAAAACTAGCGGGCAAAGGGAGACCCATGGTGAAAGAAGCTTTTAAAGTCACAAAAACATGGATTGTGACAACGGGAAAGCCACTAACTTTGCATGGCCAGTGGCAGCAATATTGCTAACTTTCCTTTGTCAATTTTCACTTGCAAGTTCCTGAAATGGAGCCAATCCACCTTTAAATGAAAATTCTTCCGCAATATTTTCGATGCAATTCGAGAGACTCAACGTTATTGCGTATAAAGAAAGACCCGTACTTCGAAACTTATTGGCAACCATCTGGACCATCTCTGTTCGTGAAAAAAGGAAGCCAAAAGGAGACCATCACGCACTTATGCCACTTTTAAGCCCAAGAAAATGGAAATTCAGAGTCAGTCCCCACCTTTCAAAAAAATTTACACAAAAAAAAAAAAGACTAGTAGTATCCTTCTCTTGCATTTCTAAGTTCAGATCCCAGACTTCCACTAGAACACCAACCTTGTACCCTGCTATATCCGGATGTTTGCGTACTGTAACCAAGTTCACATCAAAACAAACAACACTGGCGATTGCACCAATCTATTCACACCAACGGGCTGGTAACTCATCGGTGCTCTCTTACACCGTGAGAGCTAGGATTTGGGTTCGAGTCCCGGATCAGTGAACACACAATTTTCATCTCAAAAAACAACATTTTTACTACGAATTCATACTAAAGCAACTTCAGTTTAAACCTAACAAAACTCATACAAATTTAAGTGTACGTAGAAAACCAACAACATATAACATCAACAGCAATAGAGAAAAGGACTCCAATAAAAAGAAGAAGTGAACACATTTCTGCATTAAAATCCAAAGAAATCATTTATTCCCACCATAAGAAGTACTACTTCCTTTAACAACACTAAAGAAGGTACAAAACACCGTCATTAACCAGCTGTTTCTTCACTGGTTCTTCAATCATAACAACATTTACAACACAGTCATCCCACAAAAAATTAACACTACCCTATTAAGAAAAAACCTAAAAAAAAAATAAACAAGAGAAAAAAAATCGAATCAGGTCAAGATTGATCATCTAAGAAGAGAAAAAACCGCTGCTCCTGCCGAAATTATGTATGTTTTAGCAGACTTGTGCGTATGAAATTAAATTCCAGCAGAAAAATATGAAATCCAAAGCTAAGAATCTTACTTTTAAAAGCGAGTGTGGCCAGCTCTCGTGGGACTCCCCACAACAGAAAGCAAACTTCCATCAGCCACATCTTGCTCATCCGAATACAAATCATCAGTTCTTCTAAACGCAGCGTGCAAGACAACAATAGCAGCTCCAATCAAAAGCGAAACCAAGACATTTAACCACACGTGTGTGAAAATCAAAGCAACAACAGTAGCGACACCGAGCAAACCAAGCACCACACGATCATCAATCGTGCGGTGGAAAATCACCAATGGCTGGTCACGAAAGAAGTAAAGGAAAAACCAGGCGACGAAGACGATTAAGAAGACAATCATTGAGAGAGGGTGCCATAAGAGGCTTAAGAAGAGGATAGAGAGGATTATCATTGTGTAATTAACGCGAAAGTAGGAGAGGTTCCGTTTTATGCGGATTGTGGTATCGCCGAGGGACAGTGGGCGCGCGAAGGAGGAGAATTCAATTAATTCGCGCCATGGGCGGCGAGTGGCGAAGATGGTGGATGTCGTATATGTCGTATTGATGGCGCGTGTGAGGAAGGTGGACGAGGGCGCGGTGGGTGGGAAGGAACCGTACGAAGCTGGAGATGGAGAAGTCATTGAGAAAGACGAGAGAAGAGAGATCGGTTCGTTGTTACAGAGGGAGAGGCGGTTTTGTGGATCTCTATAAAGAAGGCATTTCCTATTTTAATGGCTAGATATTTGTCGGGAAAGAGCGCAGAGGGCATAGGCTTGTGAAGACGACGCCGTGTTAGGCATTTTAAAGAGGATGTGGTGTCGTTTCGGCTTCTTTAGCGTGCGGGTGCGGGGACGCGGGCGCGAGAGGAAAGGGAAGGCCAGGAAGGAAGGGGGGAGTCCACTGGGTCCAATAATGAAAATATGTTATAAAATTTGAGAGAGAGAGCCTAGACAGGATAATCAACGTCCAAGCTGTCACGTTTATGGGCATTGTTGCACTCTCTCCTTTTCTTTTCTTTTTTAATTTTGAAAACAGTTTTTAAGACATAGAAAATACAAAATAATTGTATAAGAAAAACTAACAACCGGGACATAAAAAAAATCAGCATGGCTAGTGAAAAATTGCAAATAGTTTTTCTATAAAAAAATAAAAATAAGGCAAAAATACAAAATTGGCCCAAGTCTTACAATTATGCTTTGCTACAATTAAAGAGAAAAATCCCCTCATGAAAGATGGACAAAAGAAAAATAAAATTATAAGCTAATAGCTTGCAAATCAAAAGTAGATAAGGGATGTGGTGTGAGATAGGAGGAGTAACTTTTTTCTTCCTTGCCAGCGAGTTTGCGTCCAGGGTCATCCACTGCAACTGGGGTGCCGTACGGGGAAGATTGGAGTCAGGGAGAAGCACCTACTCTACACGAGTAACATGTTCGTGAAGCTTCAGCGAGCTCGGCATGCTCTTATCTACTTTGTACGCAAAGCAAGAAACATGAAGATCTTGATGATGCGGTGCGATCACTTAGGCGGTGCGACTAAAGGCTCAGAGCAACTGATGTGAGCTTCTTCGCAGTGCACAGATGGAACTTCTCTTGCTGGCATTCAGATAGTTTTCATCACAAACATTTGGTTGATTGCATTATGTAAAAGCTCTTATAGCAGGGCCACCACCTACTGAGTTAATTTCCCTTTCATTAAATGAAGAAAATCTCTGTTATCCATGGATAAGAAATAGATTGATAGCTACCGATTGTGTATATTTAACTGCTTGACTCGCTGAAATAATGATCTTGATGAGAGAAATCAAGACGGCTCAGGCACAAAAATAAACTTGCAGATTTGTCAAACGGTATACCATTATATAATTTCACACCCATTGCAGTACCAGCACAGCCAATCGAGCTGAACGTACTCACTGCATTCACCCGTCTTAAAGAGTGGATATCAGTGAGCCGCGAGAGAGAGTTCAAAGGCTCCAAAGAAGATAATGAAGTGCTGTAATGTCAGCATACATTCCTTGTGATAATGCTTGTAAACAGCCTGCAGAGGAAAGGAATGCAGCAATTTGAATGGCCATGTTATTGCCCAAAGAAGCCACCTGCTGAAAAAAAAGCAATATATCAGTAACCCCAGAATCCTTCAAGAATCAGATAAACAGATGGTGAAGAAAGCAAAAACTAGAAATCCCATTAATTTTTTACGGAACAAACAATGCATTTGAACATTCCTCCTATCCCATCTCCACGAAGACGCAATCAATAGACTCCATGATGATATTTGGAGTTCTGGCCCATTTTCTATCTAACCGAACGGGTTGCCGCCTTACAAGAGCAAAATGAAAATTATGGGTCTGATAACCTCTATGGTAACCTTCATATTAAAGTAATCAATTTCATAGAATAGGATCTAGTAAAAGCGCCAACTAATCTACCTTCACATGCTAAAAAGACAGAAATGATATACAGAACCTTGTCAGTATGAAACATGCAATTGAAAGAAATAAATCACTAATCCATCACTTTCCTCGAATGAACGCTACCAAGGCATAACAACATGAGAGAATTCGTGAAAAGACCATAAGCATAATCAGATATTATGGTTACACTACTGCAAGAGATCACCACTGAATCATCAAAGAAAATAATCTTACACGTTCCGCAGACCCAGTAAGAAGAGAGACTTCTGGAACCACTCCACCAATCAGGCACAAAACAAGCTAGGAAACAAAAACTCTTCCAAAAACTAGTGGGAAAAGGGAGACCCATAGTGAAACTAGCTTTTAAAGTCACCAAAACAAGGATTGTGACAACAGGCAAGCCACTAACTTTGCACGGCCAGTGACATCAATATTGCTAACTTCCCTTTGTCAATTTTTCACTTGCAAGCTCCTCAAATGGAGCCCATGCATTAGATCCAGCTTTAAATGAAAACTCTTCCGCAGTATTTTCGTTGAAATTCAAGAGACTCAACATTATTGCAAACAAAGAAAGATTCGTACTTTTAAGCATATGGCAAGCAACAATCTGGATCTTCTCTGTTCGTGAAAAACAGAAGCCGGAAGGAGACCTTCACGCACTGATGCCACTTTTTTCTGTGCTTTGGAACGGTAATCGCATGTATTAAATACATTTTTATTTTTTATTTTTAAAATTTATATACAATTAAATCACACTTGAGGATATGTTTTAGAATTCTGATCCATTAGATTAGTTAATAGGTTGGTATAAATATAAATTTTAATTTTAAATAAAATATAATTAAATAAATTAAATAATTAAGTTAATATCAATTTAATAACTGATTAATTTATATTTAAAAATCAAGTATAATATTTAGCAATATATTATGATCTTTTAAATATTAATAAAGTTATAAGTGGTTTTACTTAATATTTCAGTGATTAATTTCCAATGTAATTGTTATTCGTTAATTAATATTGTTATGCTTTATACATTATAATACATGGTATGTTTACTATATCAAATCATATTTATTTTCAATATTATAGTGATTGATTCTTTAAATAAGTTATCGTCTTGATTTTTTTAATCAATCGATATTTTCACTAGTTTTTCGAGTTGTTTTTTGACTTGTAGAGTAAATCGTGTCATATCTAGTAAATCTCATATAATTTATTTATTTTTTATTATAAAGCATGTTAATAACCTTTAAATATTTTTTTATATTCAATAAAAAATTGATTTGGCCCGCAGCATGATAAAGGTAATTATCTAGTATATTGTTATAACTCAATTCTGGATTATTTTTTAAAATTTATTTTTTAAAACTAAAAAACAATAAAGACCGGTAACGTGAAGAAAGCAGGTCGGGAAATTAAGTAACAATTTTGGAGAAACTTTTAAGACTTAATTGTACCACATTATACACAAAATAAAGAAAAATACAATTTCAAGATCAAATTAAATGATTATGAGATGGATTTGCATAAAAATTAAATCTAAAGACATGGTTAAATTTTTAATAGGTCAATTTGATATTAAATTTTAATTATGTTTAAGAATTAATTTGAGTCTAATTGAAGGATTTAATTAAGTGCAAGGACTTAATTATACTTTAAATGGGTCAAATTAATTTTATTTGAGATTTAATTGGTGAAAAATTAAGTTTGGGAGCCTAATTTGGGCTTAATTGAGAAGATTATAATTTTAAAAGACCAAACTTAATTTTTAACAAGTTAATTGATTGAAATTAGAGGGCAAATTGCAAGAAAATTGAAGTTTTTGGGTCAATTAGGGGTTAAATTGATAATATTCGCACCTAAGGACCAATCTGCAAAAGGTGCCAAACTATAGGGGTTCAATTAACAAAAATTAGGGGGAAATTAAAAAAATTGAAAGTTTAAAAATCAATTAGAAGTTAAATTGCATACAACCGAGATCAAGAGCCAAAGTGCAAAAAACGCATAAATTTAAGGTTCCAATTGAAGTTCCGTACAGGCTAAATTGCACCACATCAAAGATTCAGGGTTAATTATGAGTGTAATTACCCAAATTAAAAACTAGAAGACTAGATTAAACTTTGACAAAACCCTTAATTTAACCTTAACATGCATTATTTTGATGATTTTTTTTTTAAAAAGGAGATAATTAGACAACGCGTCGTCTGGTTGCTATTCATTGTCTTTTTCTTTTACTCGAAAAATATTGCTCATGTTACCTACTTTACAGGTGCATTTAATGAATTTAACGTCCATCAAATTTGACAAATCTTACACACAAATAGAAAATTATTTCATGGTCAATGAAAATAATGTCCTGTTAAATGGACGTGTTGAAAGATTATTTCCTAGTAAATAAAAATAATATCCCATTAAAATGGATATATTGGTTGAACTATTTCCTTTTCTTTCTTACCTCAACTTCATATATAATGTACTAATTAATGGACAACTGGAGAAAGTCATATCCTGGTTAATAAATAAGATATCTCATAAAGGATTGACAAAAATAAAATTTAGATCAAATGTTTAAGTTAATTTTTGTAGTGAAAATATTAATATTATGTTTTATATCTTTTGTATATTACAGAATTTAAAAATATCTAAATTATTCTTTTACTAGATATATAATCAAGAATAATATCCTTACTTTAACTGGTAATATAGTTTTGTTGTATTTATTTTGAATACATTTGTGTCCTAAGAAATTAATGTTATTTTAAATAAATTAATTTTAAATACTGTATATTAAATCATACAATTTTTTACTATATAAAAAATTAACAATATACAAGCACTGTAGCTTCTCCACGCCTTTTAATATTACTTATATATAATAATAATAATTAATATTATAATGGTAATTATATTATAATATATATATATATATATATTCATTTTTTTGGTTTTTTTTGTTTTTATGTCTTTATGAGTTTTTTTTAGTTTTTTTAATTATTTTTTTAATTTAATTTAGTTTGTTAATGTTAATTTTTTTTCTATTTAATTATCAGACTTTCATAACACATATCGCAAGGTTGACAGGTTAACCCGTCAATTAACCCGTTAATCTTTTTTTCTATTTAGTTATCAAATTTTTATGACATGAATTTAAGGTTTGATGGGTTAATCTGATTTGAAGGATTAATCCAGTTAATTCAATTTTTTTTTGCATTAGTTTTTTTCTTTGTGGGGAAAGTATTGTAGCTTCCTCACATCTTTTAATCATACTTATATATAATAATAATAATTATTATTATTATGAAAATTATATATATATATATATATATATATTCGTTTTCATTTTTTTTTGTTTTGCCTTTATGGGTTTTTTTCTTTTTTCTTTGTTTTTTTTCCTTTTAATAATTTTTTTGCTTAATTTAGTTTGTTGATAAATCCTGAGTTTGATGGGTTAACATGATTTGACAAGTTAACCCGAAATTTTATTTTTTTTGCTTTTTTTTAATTAATTTCTTTATTTAGTTTAGTTTGTTAATGTTAAATTTCTTTCTATTTAATTAACAAACTTTCATGACACGTATCTCAAACTTGACAGGTTAACTCAGTTAATCATGGGCTAACCCGTCAATTTTTTTTTTCTATTTAGTTATCAAACTTTCATGACACGAATCTAAGGTTTGGCAAATTAATCTGGTTTGAAGGATCAACCAAGTTAATTCAGATTTTTTTTCTTTTTCTTCGTTAGTTTTTTTTCTTCTTGTTGTTTTTTTTGTTTTTTTAATTAATCTATTTAATTATGATGCTTTTATGACACGACGTTACAGCTAGACCCACATCCAAGGCTCTTGGGTCCAGCGTTGCAACCAGACTCACTTAAACTTGAGTCATGTAAGTTTAATATTATTATAAATATTACTCTTAGGTCAAGCGTTGTAGTTAGACCAAAGACTCTTGGATATATCTTTGTAGAAATACACAACACTCTTGGATCTTAGCATTTTTTGATATTTTTTTATGCAAGGAAAAAAAATAACCTGTGGCGTATGCTTTTGTTTTGTTTTTTTTCTTTTTTAAGTTTTTTTAATGTGAACTGCACAATGCAATCCACAGTGAAAAAATTAATGCCTTTAGTTTTTTTTTGTTTTGTAATTATTCTTTTAATTTAGTTTCTTAATATTAAATTTTTTATGTTTAATTATTAAACTTTCATGACACGGATCCCAAGTTTAACCGATTAACCCGATTGATTCAGATTATTTTTTTTCTCATTACTTTTGTTCTTTCTATTTCATCTTTTGATATTGTATGCAGTACACGGTGAAAAGGCTGATGCCTTTAGTTTTTTTTATATATATATCTTTCACTCGGGACTGTATAGTACAATTCACAGTGAAAAGGTTGATGCTTTTTTTTTTAATTAACTTTTTTATCTAGTTTGCTGATGTTAATTTTTTTTCTATTTAATCATTAGACTTTCATGACGTGAATCCCAAATTTGACAGCTTAACCCAATTAATTTATATTTTTTTCTTTTTCTTTATTAGTTTTTTTCTTCATGTTGTTTTTTTTGTTTTGTTCTTTTTAATTAATTTATTTAAATATCATACTTTTATGACATAACTTTACGGTCAAACTAATATCCAAAACTATTGGATTTAATATTGCAGCTAGACCCATTTAAATTTGAGTTTTTCAAATTTAATATTATTATAAATATTACTCTTGGATCTGGTGTTGAAGTTAAATCTAAAACTTTTAAATATAATTTTAAAAAAACCTAATATTTTTATATTTTAACTTTTTTTAATAATATTTTATTTAAAAAATTAATCCGCTGCAGGTCATTTAACTAGTATAACACTGTAGGAAACATAAAAATAGATGTATTTAGTAAAGTTGTACTATTTATTTATACTAAAATGTATTCGTAATTATTATTTATAGGTTTTATTTTGAATTAATAATTTGATATTAAAAATATAAAAAAATATGTAGAATTTTTTTTAAAATATCTACTTAAAAAAATAATTAACTCTTTTAAATAACTTTTTTTCGGGATTTTACAGCAATCACATCTTTAATTAAAAATGAAAAAAATAGAAACTGAAGAGAAAAAATAAGAGAAGAAGAAGAGACTCGACAAGATCGCTTAATTGACGCAAGATCCCAACCAAGCCAGTAACAGCAACACCATCGAGCACAGCTTTTGAATCTCCTTCATTGTTTGCTTCCCTATAAAGTTCACCATGTCCTAACCCATACTCATTTCTCACTTCAAACCGAACCAGATGTATTCTTTTTTGTTTTTGGTTCTTCTTTACTCTTTTTATCTCTCTTAAAAAAGAGATTCCTCTCTATCTAAGACTGAAATAACAGCAGCATTAGTATCAGCAATACATTCAAAATTCAATGAATGAATAAATGAAAAGATAATAGCAATTTATTATTTCTACTGAAATCGTTAAAACGATCCTGGAACCATATTTTTACATGATTTCATCTAATCTTAATAATTGCACCTGATTTTAACTTGATTTGATTTATTTGCGAGTTTTTAGAACAATTTCATATATTAACCCGTAAAATCATACCATTTTACGAGTAAAATCGTGTCCCTGGTAATATGCAGTCTGTACCAAAACATGGTGGAATCCGAGGATGAGATTCTGATGGAACCGGATCCGGAAACGAGGAAGCCACATTTGCCGTTGGGCGTTGAGCGCTAGGCGATGGCAAATCTTGTTCGTCCAAATACAAGTCATCACTTCTTCTAAACGCAGCGTGTAAGAGAACAACAGCAGCTCCAATCAAGAGCGAAACCAAGACATTTAACCATACGTGTGTGAAAATCAAAGCAACAAGAGTAGTGACACCGAGCAAACCAAGCACCACACGATCATCAATCGTGCGGTGGAAAATCACCAATGGCTGGTCACGAAAGAAGTAAAGGTAAAACCAGGCGACGAAGACGATTAAGAAGACAATCATTGAGAGAGGGTGCCATAAGAGACTTAAGAAGAGGATAGAGAGGATTATCATTGTGTAATTAACGCGAAAGTAGGAGAGGTTCCGTTTTATGCGGATTGTGGTATCGCCGAGGGACAATGGGTGCGCGAAGGAGGAGAATTCAATTATTTCGCGCCATGGGCGGCGAGTGGCGAAGATGGTGGATGTCATATTGGTGGCGCGTGTGAGGATGGTCGACGAGGTGCGGTGGTTGGGAGGGAACCGTACGAAGCTTGAGATGGAAAAGTCACTGAGAAAGATGAGAGGAGAGATCGGTTCGCTGTTACAGAGTGAGTGAGTGGCGGTTTTTTGGATCTCTATAAAGAAGGCATTTCCTTTTTTAATGGCTAGATATTTGTCGGGAAAGAGCGCAGAGAGCAGAGGCTTGTGAAGACGACGCCGTTTCGCTTCTCTTGCGAGTTGTGGGGGTAGAGAAAAGGGTAGGCCGGCGAGGAATGAGGGTGTAAATTGGGGCCATTAATGAAGAGATGTTATAGACATTTAGAGAGAGAGGCTCGACTGAATAATTAATGTCCACGTTGTCACGTTAAGCATCGCATATTGTCTTTTATTTTTATTTTTAATTTGAAAACAGTTTTTAAGAAATAGAAAATAATAGTATAATAAAGTAACAGCTGGACATAAAAATAAAAAATAAATTTATCATGGCAAGTGAAAATTTTGCAAATAGTTTTTTTATCAAAAAATAAAAATAAAGCAACAGTACAAAAATTGTCCCAAATTTTACAATTTGATACAAAAGGCATAATGCTCATCTACCATTAAAGAGGAAAATCGAATCATGAGAGATTTAATAATAATAATAATAATAATTATAATTATAAGCTAATAGCTTGCAGACCAGAAGAAGAATAAGGATTTGGTGAGAGAGAGAGGAATTTTTTTTTCCTTGGCAAGAGGGTTAGAATATGTGCGAGTTTGCGTTTAAATAACGATTTAGAAACACAGAGAAAACTATATTATATAAAAAATTATTTTTTTAATTTTAAATCATTTTAATATATTTATAAAAATGTTATTTAAATATATTTTTAAATAAAAAAAATGACTGCACTTCCATCTCCGGCCTTAACAAGGACATCCAGTGCCACTAATGTAGCTGGTGGGCCTTATGGGGAAGATTGGAGAGAGGGAGAAGCACCTACTCTTCACGAGTAACGTGTTCATGAAGCCTCAGCGAGCTCGGCATGCTCTTATCTACTTTGTATGGAAAGCAAGAAACATGAAGATCTTGATGATGGAGTGCGATCACTTAGGCGGTGATCGTTCTCTGGAAGCTCAGGTTACGAGGTTCTTCGCAGTGCAAAGATGGAACTTCTCTTACTGGCATTCAGATATATCGTTTCCATTACCAACATTTTGTTGATTGCATTATGTAAAAGCTCTTGTAGCAGGGCCAACACCTCCTGAGTTAATTTCCCTATGATAATGCTTGTAAACAGGGAAATTCAAAGTCCCCAAAGAAGATAATGAAGTGCTGTAAGGTCAGCGAACATTCCTCATTTCCTTGTGATAATGCTTGTAAACAGCCTGCAGAGAAAAAGGGAATGCAGCCATTTGAATGGCCGTGTTATTGCCCCAAAAAGCCACCTGCTGAAAAAAAGCAATAGATCAGTAACCTCAGGTCCTCAGAATCCATCAAGAATCAGATAAACAGATGGTGAAGAAAGCAAAAACTAGAAACCCCATTATTTTTTTACGGAACAAGCAATGCATTTGAGCATTCCTCCCATCCCATCTCCACGAAGAGGCAATCAATAGTGGTATATGGAGTTCTGGGCCCATACGCCTTTTCTTTTCCACTTAACCGAACGGGTTGCCGCCTTACAAAAACGACCTCGTTTTCACGTGAAGGGTGTCCGGTCCCATCCATTTTTTTTCTGCTCGCATGGCAAAATTCAATTGGCTCGTAAGCCGGACCTTAAAATAATACTATTGTAAGTTAAAAAAACCCCATCCCTAAAAACCCAGCAAAGTCTCCCTGCCCTCTGCTTCACCTAAGCTTTGTTGACGGGCAGTTCCTGATCCGTTGAAAATCAAGTAATTCTCTCTTGGTTTCTTACCTTCTCAACGCAATGGTTTACATGGCTTCATGGGACGAGTTCGTTGATCGATCCGTACAGTTGTTCCGTGCCGATCCTGATTCTGTAAGCTACATTTTTCTCTTCGTTTCTTTTTTTTTTTGGCTAATTAGCTGCTGTTTGGTTGCCTGGAGAATTAAAAGTAAAGAAAAACAAATTCGGATTCTTATTTCATGTTTTCTCTTTGGCTTGAAACACATCATGGGTGTAATTCGAAGGAGACACTTTTGTCTTCGAATTTTCCGATCAAAGTGAACCCGATGATCGAATGATTGATTCTACTTTCTTCTTTTCTTTTTTTTTCGAAAATTATACCGAATTTTTTTCTTCGTGCTATTTTATATTGCTAATATTTTTTATTTTTTTTGGTTTATCTTGTGCAATTGAACTGGGTGGGGTTGTAGACTCGGTATGTCATGAAGTACAGACACTGTGATGGCAAGTTGGTTCTCAAGGTCACTGACAACAAAGAGGTAGCGATCGATTTCATTTTAAGCCTTTTCTGTTCCGTTAGACACATGTGATTGAATCTGTGCTTAGATTTTATATGGGTTTGCCATATATATATATAATGCTGCCATGTTTATTATTCTGTGATGAATGCTGTGCATTTGAGTTTAGGTTATATAAGAATCAGATTCTTATTGTTTTGCGAGGAGTTGTGTATGGTTTAGAATGCAATTTTGTGAAACTAGAGGGATATTGGTCTAAGCTGTGTCAGAACAATGGGTGCTTTCTGGTGTTTAAATTCGAATGTGATTTTGATGTTATATTGTTTGATGAATCAGATTGGATTTCGGAGGTTGTTACTATGTTTGTTGGATTAGGTTGCCCCAGTTAGTTTGAGATTGAGATTTAATTGAGGTGAGTTCATGGCTGCCTTGATGATGACTGGTTTGCTTTATCAAATGTTTGGATCAATAATTCTCTTGTGAGAATGGATAATGCAATAGGGTTCATATCTGTTTTACCATAAATTAAACAGTAGTCTGTTTGACTTTGCAGCCTTTTCTATGATTTTGATGTACATATAGCTGTTTTGCTACGAAACATATAGCTGTTTTTCTACGAAACAGTTACTCACTGATTACTTGTAGAAGAAATTATTGTGTGTACAGATATGGTAGTCACTTACACAACCAGCATGCCCTGCAGAAAGGTAACCAGAAACCATGGGATTTCATGTTTGTCTAGCATTCCTTCTCCTTTGATGCACGTGCATTCTTATTCACATTCGGCATCCTTTCCTCACTACTCTGACTCCCCTTCTGGCCTTCCCCAACCCTCAACAGTTTGTGTGGGCGCGTGTGTGCATGAGCACGTTTGTGAATGAGTTAGGGAGAGAGACAGAGAGGGATGGTGGGTGGGAGGATGAACAAAAGATGATAAGGAATTTAGCAATGCTTCTGCGTGTTAGATTCTCATTTCCCCGGAATGTTTATTTCCTGAATTCAAATGCTTGTGTCCTGTTGAAAATCAACTCCAAACGTTTGTTGCCTTCATGCACAATTTATAGCTCTTGGAAACATGTTGATAACAAGCAGCTTTCGCTATTCATATGCCATGATATCTGAATTCTATTTATTCTTTTCAGTAATGCCTCTATGTTCATGTTTGTGCTATTTTGCCAGTGTCTTAAGTTCAAGACAGACCAGGCACAGGATGCTAAGAAGATGGAGAAGCTAAACAACCTATTTTTTACTTTGATGTCTCGGGGCCCTGATGGTACAATCAATCTCTGAATGTCCTTTGTTTCCAACTTCCACTGTGATTTGTATATATTATAGTTTAAAATCCAGTTCTTTTCTGATAGAATCTAATGGGTCTTGATGTGTCCAGGCTGTGCTCGTTTCTGATGTTTTTCTTATAGTTTAAAATCCAGTTCTTTTCGTCCAGGCTGTGCTCGTTTCTGATGTTTTTTCTCTTGATGCAGCGGATCTGTCGGAAGTTACAGGGAAAGAACAGACAGAAGCACAGCCAGGGAAGAAAGGGAGGGGAAGGAAACAATAACCTAGCTATTGGTAATCAAATAGGACTTGGACATATTTTACATTACTTGTCGATGAATTAATCGAATTTTTGGAGCTATGTGCCTCTTTGCTCGTACAGTTGGATAACTGGGAAAATTGCTGTTCGCTTTGATTCCATTTATCCTGGGCAATGATTTTTCCTAAAATCCCGGTTTCTTGATATTTCACTGCAACTGATTACGGGTGATATTTGTTTGATTATGCTTCCCTCAATCAATTTCTTTTGCACTTTGAAAAAAGATGATATTAAACTCCATCAATGGTTGTTGATGGCGGTCCGTGACAAAGTAAGCCTGGTATATTTATTGAACACAACTATTATAAGCGGATTATGATCAGGCGGTCAATCAGTGAGTGCCTGGTTGTAGAGCAGATACTTGAAAGAGAAACAGGGACTGGCTATTGCTGTTTAGGAACAAATATAAAAACCAGCACTGCCGTTGCCCAACACGCAGGGCATCCCATGTTATTCAAGGCACGAGTGCATATTAGGACACTAGCAGCAACGGGCATAGGTTTGAACCCTTTATATGTTTCTTCTTGTTCTTCACAACAAGGCAGGACTCAAATCAAAATGCAGTCATTGATGCTTCTGTATCATCATCTGCCGTCGAATACATGTTGGATTTAAAGGCTCAGAGTCTGTTTAGGGCAGCGTGCATTCTGAATTATCGATTATTCTTAGGCCATTGCTCGCTTAGCCCGTGCATGAATTCCCGGTGTCATGTCCACAGTTGAAAATGGTACATAAGGAAGCGTGTGAGTTGAGGACCACCATTTTTGAAGTGCAGATGTCGTGTTTGACCTGCCGCAAACGTACAGGACAGGGCCGAGCATGTATTATCGAGTGGGAGACGATTTTATCCCTCTCACATTTCGGCCATGTGAGATCTCTCAGTTTTTACTGTTAAACAAAATTCAGTGTTTTAAAATGGTAAATAAATAAGTCATTTATACTGAAATAAAAGATTTACATGAAAATCTTACCTTCACATGTATTCCAATGCCTGACATAGAAATATAAATTAGTAAGTTTTGCATTGCGATCAGCGATTGAACATGCTCTACACAGATTGATTTTCAGCTGAAGGAAAGAATACTTATTATTAGGTTAAAATATTTTTGCAGAGCTCCTTCCAGTCGCAACACCATCAGGAAAAGAAAGGAAAAGGACCCAGGGGCCCCCATGTATCATGGCCGTACCGCCAGCGAGTTTAAAGTGTCTCCTTTATCTTCATATCCCAATGCATGTTGTACTTTTTTTTTTGCTGTTGGCCCGATAAATATATTAAAAATTTATTTAAAAGAATGTTTATCTGAAAAATAATTTATTAAAATTATTTAAAAATTATATGTTTTTGTTATTAAAA